GAATGATGATGATTTACTCCGGCAAAACAAAACAATCTTCTAATTGTGGATGATCTAATGCAGCAAGCAAGCGCCAACTCTGAACTTCAAAGAGTTTTTACTAATTACGTGCACCATCGCAATCTCAGCGCCATCTATATAGTGCAAAATCTATTTGTTCAGGGTAAATCCAGTCGAACCATCAGCTTAAACACCAATTACATGATCCTGTTTAAAAATCCTCGGGATGTCAATCAAGTAGCGGTGCTAGGACGACAAATGTATCCCGGAAATACGAAATACTTTATGGAATGTTATAACGATGCAACCAGTCAACCCTTTGGTTATCTAATGATAGACTATAAAGCAAAAACTCCTGAACAATACCGTCTCAGAACAGGGGTGCTTTCAGAACGACAGGTGGTTTATATCCAGAAAAAAAGAAGAAGAACGTAATAAATCATTATGTCCGCCAGACTTTGTAAGCATCTGCCGGTTTTAAAACTACTACATAAAGGTCTCCTAAACAACGCCGCCTTATTTTACAATCGGCATCCAACGAATTCATTTTAACTCTGTGTGAAGTTGCGCTTAACATTCTCTATGGTACGATTCCGGTCAATCAAAAACAGTATCGAAGACTGAAAAAGAGAAAAGCTGAAATAAAATTTGTCGCCGATAAAAAAATCGGTCTAGCGGCTAAGAAACAAGTCTTCAATCAGACGGGCGGATTTCTTTTACCGCTCTTGAGCGTCGCTGTCCCATTCATCTCGAGCTTGATAGCAAACAGATAGGGTTACTATGGAGTATGCCGAGAAGATGTATTTAGTTCCGCATCATCAGCTGGATAAGATGAAAAGTGAAAATATCAGAGAGAACATTCAACAGACCGTGGAGAATGATTTGGATGGTGCCATAAGGAGTATTTTACAACGTACTGATTTGAATCCGTATGAAAAAGCCAAACTTTACACAAACACGTTGAGCAGGTTTCTGACCGTTGTTAAACAAGGTGATCGTGAGAGTACCGTTCTCACGCTATCATTACCCCATCCGGACCCCGGCCTTAAAGATGAACAATCATCAGCAGTCGTTAGAGACATCGGGGAGGTGAAGGAGGACGTCATCGTATCCGAGGTTCTGAAGAATGTGCCGTCGAGAAGTGTGAAAAACATCAGATACATATTAGACAAAATGTCTAAAACTAAAGGACTAAGCACATGGAACGATTCGGGGGAGTTTGTGTTCAGGGGTAACGTCGTACGAGGTTCACACATGTACGATTTGTTAAAAAACGTTACGGCCCGCTATAAGGTTCGGGATGATCGGAGACCTGTAGGATGGCCTGAATTTCTACAGGCTTTTGCCGAATTAAACATACCCTTTTCTACAGTACCAAACCATTATGTCAGACAGGCGATTAACGCTCTAAAGAGTAACGCGGACACATCCGTATCGACCCCTGTCCGAGCTTCTAAAAAAGTCAGAAGATATTCATATTCCACAAGTCCAGAAGTAAAAGACGCTATGTTTAAATCGTCGACTATTGACCGTTGGAATTGGCTGGAATTTTAATGACTTTCTTTGAATATTTGAAGTTGTGTATGTCTGCATATGTACCGCGTGATTAATCTGTGAATAAAAGACTATAAAATATTATGTTTTTAGAAATTTATTTATGTCATGCAAAATACATTGTTGAACGGTTATCAAAACGACAAAAAGTATCACACGTCTGCACACACTGAACACACGATAATAGTTTATCATTACAAACATCAGGTTTTAATTTCTTCACAAATAGCGAAACCATTTTATCATTTTTAATACAATCATCCGTGTATAGTTTCATCACATGGTTATAGTCATGACCTCTGGCTAAATGATATAGAAAAAACACACAGTGCTGTCCACACGTATCCGATGAAAAATCCTGGACGCGTCTGTTGGAATATAAAACGTCGACATCATTGGCTTCCAGAAAGTTACTGATGGCGATTGGAAAGCGAGGGCTGCTGGGTGGGTTACCGAAACTGTCGAAAAAGCATGCCGATCCCTCATGGGGTAAATAAACGGCAACCCAATGTTCACCAGGCAATCGAGCAGGGTGGGTGTTAATGATCCCCATCGATGGTAAGATCCTTAAAGGGGTTTTGGGTAGTTGATCGCACGGCAGAACTCCGAGAAAATGAGTCCTGCATGTAATTTTATCCATGACGGATGTTAGTTGTAACGTATCCATCTTAATAGTAATCGACCAGTACCTGTCTACGGTTAGACACCTCAATGATGCTGTCAAAAACTGCGTAAATTAATAAATTAACTGTATTCGGTAGCGGTTGTCTGAAGCGGGCTTCGAGGCGGATATTCCCGGACTTGATGAGTGAGATGTGTTGTCCGCATTCCTCGTCAGGCGTGAGATTAAATGCGTAAAGCGTGTAACCATCCAGGAAGTCACTCCTGTCGATAGAGAGCGACTGGTTTTTAAGGTGTCTTCCAGTCGTCATCGCCAGCTGATAAAATTCACGTACGGCCAAACCGTCTGTGAAATTAGGCTGTAGAGGCTTCGCCGGGAATTGTTGTCCGTCTACGTAGACCGCTAAGAACTCAAGATCGTAATGTTTAAAGGCGAATGGGTTCTTGTCGTAGGCCCCGGTGAATGCGTCATTGTCGACCATGGTTATGATGATAGATTTTGGCAGGGTCCCCAAAAACAAATTTTCTTGAGTTGAA